GCCGCGATAGTGGCGATGGTATCATAGCGGAGTAGGCGATGTCGTGGAGTCACGCTAGGTTGGTGCCAGAGGCGGACTCAGGGCAGGGAGGTCGGTGTGGCTGTGGGGGAGTCGGCCAGGTGCAGGGGAGCCTAGGGGCAAGCAGGGAAGTGAGCAGGGAGTCCTCATGGAGGATAGGGCTGAGTTTGGGGCTCGCGCTTGCGCTCGCATAGCGGGAATGGGCTCGGGCGGCATCGGGATGGGTGGCTAACGGGCCGGGATGCATGGTCGTGACACATGTCCGAGAAATGCTTAGGAGACTCCGCAAACACGGCCTATATGCCAATCCGAAGAAATGTGAATTTTCATACGGACACTATGGAATATCTTGGATACTGCCTTTCTCCCTCCGGACTCACCATGTCCATCGAGAAGGTCAAAGCCGTCCAAGATTGGCCCGAGCCCCGTAAAGTCAAGGATGTCCAGTCCTTCCTTGGCTTCGCTAACTTCTATCGGCATTTCATCCACCAATACTCCGACATTGTGGTCCCCTTGACACACCTTACGTGTAAAGGAGCCCCCTGGTTATTCTCTGACGACTGTCGCTCTGCTTTCAACACCTTGAAAGAAGCCTTCACTTCTGCTCCTATCCTGACACATTGGTTACCCGACACCCCCCTCATTGTAGAAACCGACGCTTCCGATTACGCAATCTCCGGAATCCTGTCCATCCGTTGTGATGATGGAGAGATTCACCCCATTGCTTTCCGCTCTAGAACACTCTCGGCGCCGGAGCTCAACTACGACACCCATGATAAGGAACTGCTCACCATCCATGATGCGTTCCGATCGTGGTGTCACTACCTTGAAGGTTCAGGAACTCCAATCGACGTCGTTACCAACCACAAGAACCTTGAGTATTTTTCCACCACCAAACTCTTGACCTGGCAGCAAGCCCATTGGTCAGAGTTCCTCTCCCAGTTCCACATGACTGTCTGATTCCGTCCCGGAAGACTCGGAGTAAAACCAGATGCGTTGACTAGATGCTGGGACGTCTATCCCAAAGAAGGGGATATGGACTACACTTGCGTCAATCTGCAGAACTTCCGACCGGTCTTGTCACGACCGACAAATCCTGGGGCTCCGTCAGCGGCGAATCAATGCCGATAGGCGAATCCGCTGACTCGAAACCCAATCTAACCAGCCCCCAATCCGATGTCTAGCCCCCTGCCCTATCAACCATGCACTGCATCCAGACTTCTGCCCGCATCTGTACCTCTGCCCACCTCCACACCCTCTGGACCTCTGCCACTCCTGGTTGCCCTCCACACCCTGTGGTCAGGCCAACACTCCCCTCCGACCTTGCTGGCCATCATGCTGCCCTTGTTTGTGACAGCACTGACGGACCACCCTCTGTTGCGGACTTGTCAGCACCACGCTGATTCCCATGTCCCTTCACGGACTTGTGTCGGCACCGCACTGACCCCGCTTATTTGTGGACTTGTATCGGGCTGCGCGCTGACCTCCGCTTTTCTCTGGCCATCTTGTCACTCGGCAGCATACCATTCATTCCTTGCCGAGTGCCTATATTGTTCATCCATTCATTCGCTTAACTTGCCAATATTGGCACTTGATCCATGTGCTGATGCACTTCTTATTACCTGTCAATATTGGCACTTGATCCGCTTTTGTTTAGTTCATTGCCTCCCATTTCCCGGGCTCTTGTCCTTCATTCAGTTTGACAATCCCCGCTTATTTCCGCGCTGGACTGCGCCGGACTGACTGGTCCTTCTGTGTTTCCCTCCTGCCTATTTATATCCTGTAAATACTTTTGGGGACCTTAGTCTGAAATCAACTAGAGTACCCCCCTGTCTGGTCTGAGTCCCTCCTTCTGCAAAGGGGGCTTCCCCCCCTCTGAGTCCGTGCTTGCGGAGTCTGCGCTCCTCCTACAGGTCCGCTCCGCCCGCAAGTCTTGTTTGAAGTCCACTGTGAGTGTCAATCTGTAAATATGGGATCTCCCCCAAACGTCAAGCTCAGGGCACAGCGCTCCACCTGAGTCGCTGAGGCCGCAATCCCACTCTGCTAACCTTGAACAGCGCTTCCGGATGCGCCGCATATTTCCGCCCGCATATCCGCGTGCGCGCGCTCCAACAGACCTCTGCCACAATCTCCGACTCCGACAATAATCCAGTCTCTGACAATAAATCCCGTCTCTGACAGGTCTTCACTTTGGAGCAGCTCACTGTGTCCTTATGAGCCACGTTCCTAGCTGCCACAGTAATCCGAGCAGCCATACTCGTCGACACAGAGGCTCTCCATCGAGACATTCTAGCCTCCCTCTCCTCCGATACCACAATCTCTTCTCATCTCGCTTCCCCCAACCTCCCCAATTCCTGCTGGTCCGTTGATGCTGAAGGCCTGTTAAGGCTGGACAACCGCATTTACGTTCTGGATTCCAACGATCTCCGTCTCTGCGTTTTGCGAGACAAACACGACCACCAACTTTCCGGACACTTCGGTCAAAACCGGACTCTGGATCTAGTACGTTGTGAGTATACCTGGCCAGGCATCCATAACTTTGTCAAGAGCTACATCTCCTCCTGCACTTCTTGTGCCCGTGCCAAAGTCCCCCATCATAAGCCTTACAGCTTGCTCAAACAACTCCCCATCCCCAAACGTCCTTGGAACTCCATCTCCATGGATTTCATCGAACAGCTACCCTCCTCTTCCGGATTCACTTCCATCTTGGTCGTCATGGACCACCTGTCTAAACAGTGCATTTTCATTCCTACCCACGATACCATCACCTCTCCGGAACTGGCCAAGCTCTTCCTCCTCCATGTGTTCTCCAAGCACGGAGTTCCTTCCCACGTCACCTCTGACAGGGGTCCGGAGTTTGTCTCTCATTTTTTCCGTTCACTTGGTAAGGCCCTTGACATCTGCCTCCACTTCACCTCCGGTTATCATCCGGAAGGAGACGGTCAGACCGAATGGATGAACCAGACGCTCGAGCAGTACCTGCACATCTACAGTAACTACCAGCAGGACAATTGGTCCGAACTCCTGCCTCTCGTGGAGTTCGCATACAACAACGCTCCGAATGCCACCACAGGCGTCTCTCCGTTCTTTGCCAACAAAGGCTACCATCTGAACATCACCGTTCACCCGGAGCGAGACCTAACATCAGTATGCACCCAGGAGTACTCTGTAGATCTCGGCTCCCTCCATCACTTCCTTCGTGAGGAAATGCACCTCACTCAGATCCGTTATCAGGGCCCAGCAGACTCCCATCGGAGTCCTGCCCCAGCTTTCAAAGTAGGAACCTCGGTCTATGTAAAGGTCAAGTATTTCCGCTCCACCCAACCCTCCAAAAAGCTCTCCGAGAAAAACCTCGGCCCATTCGAGATCATTGCCCATGTAGGAACTCACTCCCTCACTCTTGTCAGGGACAGCTCCGAAAGTGGCAAGGTCCCGGCACGAGGGACTTGATGGGACAAGTGTCGGCTATGTGTAGTGGCGGTCCTGTCGTGGGGTGAGCGTCCCCGACCACTTAGGCTGAAGTGGGAAGTTGATTATCATTAAAAAGGGGGAAGCTACAGTACTTACCTGAAGTGGGAAGTTGAGAAGAAGGCTGCTTCTTCTGTTCCCACCCCAGGTGCTATTATATACATGTGGTCAGGGTCACGTGGGAGGAGCCACGTCATCCCTGCACACAGCCGCACTCCCCTGGGTATCTCCGTGGGAGATCCCGGAGGTGTGCCGCTCTGTGAGCGGGAATGCGCGCAGCGGGCGCGGCGATCGGGGGAGTGGGGTTAGGTGTGTTAGTGATACATAGAGAAAGGGAAGTCGACCATAGAAGGAAATAGAAAGAAAGAAGGAAGGGGGAGGGAGGAGACAAAGGGTGACAGCGGGGAAGCGGAGTAGGGCAGTACGGCGCGGGGTGCGGCGTAGGGTCAGGTGGGTGTGCCCTGACAACTCTCCACCTGCCGGAAAACATGCGAGCCATTCACCCGGTATTCCATGTCTCGCAGATTGAACCCTCCGTCCCGAACATCATTCCGAACCGCCACCAGCCACCTCCGCCTCCCATAGAAATCGAAGGCGAGATCGAGATCGAGATCGAGGAGATACTCAACTCCAAGATCGACTGATGTAGACGCAACAAGTTGCTCTACCTGGTCAAGTGGCTAGGCTATGAAGGGACCGACGAGGAGACACAATGGCTCCTTGCTGGCGAACTCGATCACGCCTCCGACCTCGTCGAAGTGTTCCACTCTCGGTACCCAGATAAGCCTGGACCCGAAGCCCCTTAGGAACCCCGGCTCCTCTCCCATCTCTCCCTTTCTCTCCACTCCTCACTTCCGTTTTCTTTTTTTTTTTCTTCTGTAAGTACAGCTCCCCTCACCTTACTAATTCTGGGCCTTCAAGGGTTCAGGCCTAAGAAGGGGATACTATCATATCCATCCCCAGCCATCGACTTCCACTCCCTCCAATCCCTCCGGTCTACCTCCGGTCCACCTTCACTAACCTCGAAGCTCCTGTATTCTGCAATCACCTCGGTACCCCTCGATGGTCACCACCCCCTCTTTTCAATTTATTACCTACGCCTCCCTAAGTACAGAGCCCCAAAGGCCTCTGGACAGCTCCGACGTCCGCTAGTGCACTCCTGCCTCCGCTGGGCAATACACTCGCTTGCCCTGCAAGCCCACCTTCGGGCCTATCCCTCCTTTCCGTTTCTGGGTTATCGCCTACCATTCCATTAACCCCGTAACCTGACTCATTGGTAATATTCAATCGGCTAATGTCTAACCCCATTAGCTCCGCTCCACTCGGCTCCGCCATTTGCGGGCCCGCCCTCGCTGTAACTATATATATACTCAACCTGTACATAGGTTACACCTCAGTAATAAAATCGACTAGAGTTTACCCCTTTCAGTTCTGGTTGCCAGTTTAGTAAGTTAGGGCACAGACGTGTTACTTGGCACAGCGCTCCTGGCTCGCTGAGGCTGAAGCCCTCCGCCATGGAGACACTCCTTCGTCTCAACCTGGTCTCTGACAAACTTCATACTCCTGTTCCTGATTACAGTGAACAGGTTTAAATTCCTGGTCGACCTCAAGTGGATCGACCAGCAGGTTGGGGCGGCTGGGGTTATTGATGATGCCCCAGGTGATGTTTGTGACCTTCATGCTCGTTACTTCGAGCTGAAATTCGAGGGTGGAGGGAATCCTTCCACGGATGACTTCGACAAGAGGTATGGGTATGTCCAAAGGACTCCCGAAATTCTCAACGAGGCAGGGATGAAGTACATCCTGCTGTCATTGTGGAGGCATCATCCCTCCAATGAGGCAAGGGCTTGTAGGGTGGCCAATATGACCGCCTTCAAATTCTCGAAACTGCATGTGGGCGACTACCCCGTACCTCCTCCCCCTCCATCGTGGTCAGGGCACTTCATGCCTGAACCAGCTCCACCCGTGCCTCCACAAAAGACACGGGTTTCTCTCTCTCAATTAATGGATGGCAACTATGGCCATCTACTGTCATATCCGTGCATACCCGACCCCGACCCAACTTCCGGACTTCCACCCTCTTCACCTCCGGAGTCATAACCTACCGCTGCCGTTCCGATACTCACCTTCGGTCCTGGCAACACACCTCCTCCTTACCTCCCCGACCCTATCTCCGTCCGCTCCGATACTCATCTCGGACCGAACACCGCCCCTCTCGCCACCCTCCTACTACTCCGCTCCCCCTTCACAACACCTCCACCCTCCCGTTATCCTCCTACGCTTCCCCCGTCCGCTCCGATACTCACCTTCGGACCTGACTACTCTCCTTTCCGCCACTCCTTCTTCCTTACCTTTCCCCTCTCTCCTCCCTCTGTTACTCCTCTGCCACCCTTCCGCCAAGTTACGACCTTCCACCGCTGTTCCGTACTTCGCACTCGGACACCGCTCGTACCTTACTCCGAGCCCCCGTCATAGTCCCTACCTCGGACTTTGACTCCACCTCGGTCTTAGTCCATTGCATTGGTGACCTCATACTACGTAAACACCATTGCCAATATCCCTCGGACTTTCAACCCTGCCTCCGTAACCTCCATAAGCTCCGCAACCCCCGAGCTTCGCGGATCGCCTTTGGCACTCTCGCCGCTTGTAATGTATTTCTCGCGTTTTCCCCTCATCCCTATTTGGACTACTGCTTCTTCCTATTCTAGCCAGTTAGTCATCATCCCCACTTCCCCTCATCCTCCTGCCCCTCTGGGCCTCGCCCTCCCTACCTCCTTTCGGACGTATCACAGGTCCTGTCTTATGACCTTCGGTACCGCTCCGCTCCTTCTACCCTTTGTTCCCGTTCGGATGCCTTCGTTCCGATTCGGTTACCCTTTGTTCTCCTTGTGCTTTTGCCCCTTCCATTATATATATCGGCGCTTGTACATACTTGTTTTGGTTTAGTCCGAAATCGACCTGAAATGCCCCCTAGAGACTTCCTGCTCACCTACTGTGAAATTAAGGACCAAATGGACAAACAGCAATGGCACAGCGCTCCGCTTGAGTCGCTGAGGCCAAGGTCCCTCCACGCTAAGTCTCCGATTCCACTCCGGAGTCGTCTGTTTCCGCCTGGTTCTAACATCTACCCACTGCTGTGCGCCCTCCCACCCCACCGCCTATCCCTGACGAGGATGAGGATATGAAGAGTGATGGCGAGGCGACTACAGGGTCAGTTGATGAGGCTGCCCCTCTTCCTGAACGTCGTTTCCCTGCTGCGATCCGGTCTGAGACCGAGGCCGCTGTTGCTGGTCCTTCAGACCTTTCTAATGCTGCTGTTTTGGCTACCGCTGGCCCTTCCTCCAAGAAGGTTTAATCACCTTCTCTTCGTCGAGGTATATGTGCCTCATTTAACACAGAGGGGTTAATCACCCCCCATTCTATCATCCGCTCTGGTGCGTCATTTGTACCACTGAGGCCTAACCGCCTCATTCATCATTTTTTTTGCTTTCTGCTCTGGGACCGTCGTAACAACGGTTCTGCAAAGGCCTAACAGCCTTTGCTTTGCTATGTTCTCCACCCCATTCTCTGGACCGTTATAATAATGGTTGTGTGAAGGCTTGACGGCCTTCACTTCCTTAGTTCCTCTGATCTGCCGAAACAGCAGGTCAGTGGAGGCCTAATGGCCTCTACTTTATATATCTTTCTTTGGTCTGTCGAAACAACAGACCCATGGAGGCCTAACAGCCTCTGCTTTATATCTTTTCTTTGGTCTGTCGAAACAACAGACCCATGGAGGCCTAACAGCCTCTACTTTCACTTAATCCTGAAACCGTCATAATAACGGTTTCGTCAAGGCCTAACAGCCTTGCAATTACTGGATGGCCTAACAGCTATCGTTTTTAATTCTTTCTTGAATAATTCTTGTAAAAGGTTTTGAGGGGAATGGCTTAATCGCCATTCCCCACTTTATATTAATTTCTTGACAACTTCTTGTTATACCTGCCTGTGTGATATTAATATCGCAAGGGAGGAGAGTGTAAGGGATATAGGCCGCATACTCGTGGCCTACCTTATTCATTCTTCATTCTTTATTTATCGGGTCGGGTTTGTACCCAACGTGACACTTCTATTCCTGAACCCTTCATTTCTACCATGCGGTCCCAAGCCGCAACTATCACATGTATATACAATATTGTATTTAACCTACATGCGAGGGGGGTAAAGGCTTCCCCAGCCTTTTACCCCCCATTGATAAATACAGCTTCATACAGTGTACTTCAGTGGACTGGGAGTGTAAGGCAAAACCTGACTATCGCGAGATCACTTGCGAACTCAACCTTTAACAATGCTTACATGCCTCTGGCAGTGGTCCCCACTTTGGGGTCTGCTGTCGGTTGCCCACTGCTCTCCCTCTTCCCCTTGACATGGGTTTGCCCTCCTGAGGGCAGGCCCTTATGCAACCCGGACAGGGTTGCCTGCCCATGGGGTGGTGGGATAGTCGGTGCCCCAGCACTGTATCCCCTCCCCCTGACCTGGGAGGCCTCCATCATAATGGGTTTGGCAGCGAGATCTGCCAGTGCATGTGCCTCTTTGAGCTTGCATTTTAATAATCCAATCTCCCTCTTCTGGAGATCAACTTCTCTCTCTGTATCTCTCAGAGAGGCAAAGATGCCTTCAGCATCTCTGCATGCTCTATTGTATTCGCGCCTCCAATGGGTGCAATTATCGCAGGCATCATCTGACACCCTCAAGTTGTCAGACCATGCCTGTTTGGATGGCCTGGATGAGTGTCAGGGACTGACCCAGGGTCGAGAGCATCCAGGTATATCACCCGGAGCTGAGGGCCTGGTAGGGTGTGACGTGGGTGTGTGTAACAATGGGCCCGATGCAAACAGGTGTCCCTGGCCACTTAGGCTAAAGTGGGAAGTGTGTTATTATTATTAACAGGGGGAATGTAAGCTACTTGCCTAAAGTGGGAAGTGTGAGAAGAAGGTTGCTTCCCAGTTCCCACTTAGGCTGTGTTTATATACATGTGGTTAAGGCCATGTCATCTATGCACACAGCCATGTCCGTCTGGGTATCTCTGCAAGAGATCCCAGGAGCGCCTGGTGTGTGGGAGGTCACCCGGCGTGTCTGGGTCCGGGCATGTCATACTGTAGCCAGGTCAATAGTACACTGATAGAAGGGAAGTTGTCCATGTAATAAGGAAAGAAGAAAGAAAAGAGAAAAGAGAAGAAAGAAAGAAAGAAGGAGGGAAAGAGAAAAGAAGGGGAGGTAGGGGAGGAGTGGGTAGTGGGGGACCGGGTCAGGTGGGTGTGCCCTGACAATGAGGAGCTGCTGTTGCTCCCTTGTCTCCCTCCTACAAGGGACTTCATCTCTTTCAACTCCTGACAGAGTTGACCTGTCTGGGCAGCTACTGCTGATGCGATAGCTGATTCCCAGCCTACATTTGGCTGGGGTGTTGTCGGACCTGGGCCAAATTGGCTGATCCAGGGAAGTTCCCTGGAGAGTAGGCCTGGGGCTGCAGCAGCAATTGCTGCCCCTGGAATGGTGCTTGTTGCACCATCAGTGCAGTTTGCACCGTGTATGGTTGAAAGCCCCTTTGGGGAGGCTGGGGATATATGGTGCCCATTGGCATCGTGGGAAGTTGTTGATTTGCGGCACTTGTTTGTGCCACGTGTGTCAGGTAGTCCATGGTGCTTTGTTGTGCCTCGTGTTGTTGTTGGTCTGAGGAGCTTTGCTCCCCAGGTTGTTGTATCTCGATGTCTGGTGGCTTGTTCAGATCATATCGAGGGTTGCCTCCCCCAGAGAACAACATCTTGTTGTTTTGTTTCTCGTGGTGGTGGGAGGGGTTGTGGTTCTTGTGTGCATGGGATTCGCCACAAGTGTGTGGAATTACATGAACCTGGTGTTCACGTGGTCTAGGTGACAATGTCACCTGGCCCATGTGATGTCTAACTCACAGGATTTTTTTTTTGTGTGGCTGTCTGGGCAAGTTTCTCGCCTGGCTCTATTGGTGGCTGTTCGGGCAAGTTTTCTGGGTGAGTGTCAGGGGATACTCACAGGTCCCCATGACCCCCCCATGGCCCACACTCCTAAAGGGACACAGCCCTGTCCAGGGCACACTGCTGTGGGTAAGAAGGTGAGAAGGAAGCTAACTTCTCACCTTCCCACAGTGGCCCAATATAACAAAAACTTCCGGAGATATCCGGAAGTCACATGAGGCCCGAGACCCGGGGCCCGGGGCATCCGGCCACATGGAGCATCTGGCACAGGGCACGCACAGGGGGTGCAACGGCCGGGTGTGCATGCAGATGTGGGTGCGAGTGCAGGTGCAAGTGCAGGTGCGGGCTAGGTCAGGGTGTGTGCCCTGACAGTGAGTCGCTTGCCCAGAATCTTCCCACACTTTTGGCTGTGGGCAATTGCCCTTCGGGTTCACTTTTTCCGCCTCCATTTCTGGGGGTGTAGTGATGCTGAGAGTTCCCTATCTCCTTTGATAGGAAGATTTTCTGGTTCCCTCACATTTTGTAATGTGAGGTACTCGTTGAAGGGTTGCTTACTATTTTGGGGACGGTATTGTTCCATTCCCCTGTTCGCCTCAGGCCTCAGTAGGCCCATCTAAACATAAGCTTTAATGTGCTGTATATTCAACAGGGTAGAGGTAAAAGGCTACTGGGCCTTTACAACTACTCCGAGGTATATATATGTAATTTACATATCTCAGCACAAATAAATAAAGAAATAACAGCATCACTATAATGGGAATTATAGCGATGCAACATAGTATAAATATCACTATAATCGGGATTATAGTGAAGTAAGGTTAATCCCTTACACTCATCCAGGTGGACGAGGTTGTTACAATTTTCTAGGGGTTCCCATGTGGTGTCCCCTAGCTCTCATTTGACTTTGAACCAGAGTTTGTTATGAACCCATGTGTGGTTTAAGATTTCACAAACTACTGCTTCATGATCGGTGTTACAGAAATGGACTAGAATCTTATGGTCCATGGCTGCAAGCAAGGGGACCCAGGGTCACCTCCATTTCCTCCTCCTTTATTTCATTGCCAAACCCCATGCCTGTTAGAACTGGGCGAGGGCGGACAATTCCGGAGGGGAACCAGAGACTTAGCAAGGAGGGACCTTGGCCTCAGCGACTCAAGCAGAGCGCTGTGCCATTGCTGTTTGTCCATTTGGTCCTTAATTTCATAGGGGGCGAGCAGGAAGTCTCTAGGGGGCATTTCAGGTCGATTTTAGACTAAGGCCTAAAACGAGTATGTACAAGCACCGATATATATATGGAGAGGGTGAAAGCACAAGGAAACAAAGGAGGTCCGAATCGGAACAAAGGCGTCCAAACGGGAACAAAGGGATGACAGAAGCGGAGTGATACCGAAGGTCATAGGGCTGAACCTGTGGTACATCTGAAAGGAGATAAGGAGGGTGAAGCCCAGAGGGGCAGGAGGATGTGGGGATGTGGGGATGATGACTAACTGGCTAGAATGGGAAGAAGCAGCAGTCCAAATAGGGATGAGGGGGAAATGCGAAAGATACATTACAAGCGGCGAAAGTGCCGAAGACAATCCATGGAGCTCAGGGGTTGCGGAGCTTATGGAGGTTATGGAGGTGGGGTTGAAAGTCCAAGGAATATTGGCAATGGTGTTTACGTAGTATGAGGTCACCAATGCAATGGACTAAAGCCGAGGTGGAGTCAAAGTCTGAGGTAGGAACTATGACGGAGTCTCGGAGCGAAGGTACGAGCAGTGTCCGGGTACAAGGTATGGGACAGCAGTGGAAGGTCGTAACTTGGCGGAAGGTCGGCAGAAGAGGGCCAGAGGGAAGAGGGATGAAAGATGAAAGGGGAGAGGAGTGGAGGAGAGGAAAGGTGTCAGGTCCGAAGGTGAGTATCGGAGCGGACAGGCGAAGGGTAGGAGAATGACGGAAGGGTGGAGGTGTTGTCAGGAGGAAGCGGAGGAGTAGGAGGAGGGTGGCAAGAGGAGTGATGTTCAGTCCGAGGTGAGTATTGGAGCAGATGGAGATAGGACAGGAGAAGGATGGAGGAGTGGGAGTGGCATGAGGGGGGAGAGGAGGTGTGGTGTCAGGACCGAAGGTGAATATCGGAACGGACAGTGGTAGGGTAGGACTCCGGAGGTGGTGAAGGAGGTCCGGGAGTCGGGTCAGGATCGGGTATGCACGGATATGACAATGCCAAGCTTTCCCACTGGGTTTTGGTGCTGGCTGGGGGATTTGTTGAGTTTCAAGGGACTTCCCTTGACCATTGTGACTTTTATATTAGATAGTTAGAAGTCATATGACATGTAAGGCAGATGCCGGAAATGTTCTCAGGATCAAAATATACAATCTCAGACTATCACCCAGTGATTGTAACTGTCACCCCAGTGTGCCATCACCTGTAAACCTTCCCTGTAACATCTGACTCGGTCCATATTGATGTCTACATCAATATTCTTACAATCCATGAGGAAACCTCAACGACCCAGTGAGTGCTCAGACACCGGACCTCACCCTTCCTGCTCCCACCCCCCACTGGGTGGTTGAGCTCCCATTCCTACCCTTCCTGTAGTACCCTACCAGGTCCTACAACCCTTCCTCCCTTCTTGGGAGGGAGAAGTGACTCAGGCAGCCCCAGGATGCTTGGCCACGTACCTGCGGGCCCAAATTCCCACGGTCACTCACTACCATGCGCTAGTCAACCAACCCACTTGTCTCAACAATTCACACTACTGGTACACTCCCCTGAGTGCCAAGTAACTGATAGTCGACCACTGGGCTGCTCCTCAAGGAGTGCCAACTGCCCACGCTACCGGTATGCTCACATGAGTGCCAAGTTGCCGCTAGCCAACTGTTAGATGGCTCCCTCAGGGAGCCCCCTTTATACCTGCTGCCAGTACACTCCTCAGAGTGCCAAGTTACCGCTAGCATGACACCACACCTGCTGCTGGTACGCTCCTTGGAGCGCCAAGTTACTGTTAGTACACCCGGCCTCAGATCTCCTCCTGCTCTCCCTTCAATGGCTACACAGCCACCTCCGTCTGTGAGCAGAACGGCTCAGGTTGGGTTCCCTGGAACCCATTCCTGTAACAATCAGGGTCTTCCCCAAAGTCATAGAATATGTTTACTTCCCTATTTGGGAAGATTTCTTGGTCATTCGGGTTGTGAGGCACAAGTCAAGATATGTGGAATCTTGGGTGGACTCTGCATTGCTCAAGTTGTGGTGGCAACTTGAGGACGTAGTTCGACATTGTAGCCAGGCAAGAGAGCTGCCCAGGCAAGGGAGTAGGGACCTGGGGGTAGTGTCTGAGTCGGGTCAGAAGGAGGGAAAGGTAATGGCAACAGTGCCAATACTGTGCCGTGGTCCGGGTGCTAGAAAACAATCAACAAAATCTCACTAAATCAGTACTCACTCCTGGTCCTTCTTGGACAGTCGTCAGGAGTCAGAGATATTGTATAAACTCGTACATCACCCTCTGGCGTCACTAAGCTTATCAAACAACTTGTTACTTGATGGGGGTGTCCCTTCTCATTGGGGGAGTCCTCTGTACCATACATGAAAATGTGCGCTATAAGTGAGAAATTGCAGGGCAAAGGGGAAGAATAGAAATGCACCTCTATGGCGACACAGAATAGCAAAGAAAGTGATGGAAAGGAAATACAAATAAAAGCAATGAAAACAATATCAGAAACAATAAAATGAATGATGGAAATAGTATCCCTCCTAATCGAGCATCCAACAACCTTCTCCCGCCGTTCGAATGGACTCTCCTCGCTCGTAGCTTTCCAATGGTACTAATTTCATCCAAATCCATCCAGTGGTTCTTGAGATATGCCTGGAATTGGGTGGCCGCTACATTGACAGGCATGGGAATCTTGACTGTAGGGCTGGAAATGCATCGGAAAAATCGGGAAAAATAGGGAAAGGGTAGAAAGGGTATCTGGGACCATGTATGAGGTGCATCAGGTACTGGGGCTTGTTTGTATGGTAGCGGAGATTCCTGCCTACAACATCTCTGGAATTATTTCCAGAATTTCATAAGGCCCTATATACAAGGGCTTTAGTTTGCCTGGGTAGGTTCAACTTATCCATGGATAAGTATGCGAGCTCGCCTTTTCTCAAAGGCAGGTCTGGGCGTCTCTTTTTATTTGCCTGGATTGTTTGGGCAGTGCGATTGTATATTATCGCATCATGTGCTGCCATTAGGTTTTCCTTCGCCTTTTGGGCAAAATTGTTTACTCCCGGGTAGTCCGAGGGTGGTACTGTTAGGCACATCTTTGGCATATGGCCATAGATTAATTTGAATGGGGCAAATCCTGTCGATGCGTTTGAGCTCACATTAATCGTGAATTCTGCCATCGACAGCTTTGCTGCCCAGTCGCGTTGATCTGGTCTGACCATCGCACATAGTATTTGTACTACGTTCTGTATCATTCTCTCCACTTGGCCGTCACCTTGCAGATGGAATGCGGTTGTAAATTTCAACTGCACACCTAGTATTCGGTGTAGTTTGTGCCAGAATTTTGACGTGAATTTGGAGTCTCAGTCTGACACAATCAAGTGTGGCAATCCATGAAGCCTTATGACTTCACGAAGGAATATGAATGCCAATTCCAATGTGTTTGTTGTTGTTTTTATTGGGATTAGGTGGACGTTGGACGTCAACCTGCACATGATTACCCAGAGGTAATCATATCCCAAACTCGTTGGAAATGGACCTGTGAAGTCCATAGCTATTGATGACCACGGTGTTTCCGGGGTCGGGAGTGGGTGGAGCAGTCCGGGATTTCTCCTGGTGCTTTTCTTTGTCATTGGACAGGTTCCACAAGACTTGCAGAACTTGTGGGTGTCCTTCCTCATTGATTTCCACCAGAAGTGTTGACGGAGGATTTCCACCATTTTCTTGGACCCTATGTGTCCAAGGGTTTCATGGATGTTTTCGAGGATTATTCCTCAAATGGACTTCCTCTCATAGTTCCCTTTTGGAACTACTATTGGGGTCGTCCCTCCTTTGTTATAAAAATGGGGCCTAATTGGCCCATTTCTATAGCGTTCGGGTGCAGGAGGGGGCCGTGACATTGAGAAGATGTTACAATTAATGTAACAGATGTTGTAACAGTGGTGTTTACAATAACATGGACATTGGGTGTTTTGGGTGATAATTGTTGGTTAGGTTGTTACTATTTACATGTCACGTGATATTGTACTGCATAGAGCCCATAAGAGGCTAAAAATGGGAAAATCCCATTTCCATAACATCACCCCCAGGCTCTTATGGGTCTCTGTGCAGGACATCAACAAGAGAAAAGAAAAGAAAAGAAAGAAAAGTTGTGAGAAGTCCCACAATACAGAAAAAATCCCTTGGCCAGCACCAAAACCCAGTGGGAAAGCTTGGCACAAGGTTTAGATTAAGAAATAAATTTTATAAAATGAAAAGTAGAATAATAAAAAAAAAGAGGGCCCCAGCCCCCCAGACTCCAGTGGGCCACACAGCAGCCCCCCACAGTCCAGCCCCCAGGGCCCTGGCAGTGGACTCGGGGTGGAGGCTCACCCGGTGGACGCAGCGGGCCAGGGAGATTGGGAGGGGGAAGCGGGAATGGGCCCGTGCGTGGCTGGATGGGTGCCAGACTCACCCATTTCGATGGTGGACGCAACCGAGGGGGGGGCCAGGACACGTCTGTTGTGGTACTGGATGCGGTGGAGTCGATAGACACGCCAGATTTGGCGCAGGGGGTGTGGGGAGGGAGACGGTGACGATGACGACGACGACAGCGCGGTTTCAGGGCACGCTGAAGTCAAAGGGAGAGGTGGGGAGGGGGCCAGATGCAGTTGGAGGGGCAAATGGTGCATTGGGAATGACGTGCACGTCGTGATCAGGCGCGAATTCCATGGAATTGGGGGTGGAATGGCCGTGTGCTGTTGGATCGGGCATGAGTGCCATGGAACTGACAGTGGGACAATGGGACACGGTCGTGGTGGGGTCGTTGGACGACACAGAGGGGTGGTGGGAGGAGGGGGTGGGGCTACCGGGCGCGGTTGGGCAAAAACCGTCGATCCAGGAATGGATCGCGTTGCAGTGGGCTGACGCGTCGTTTCCTGGGGTCGACGCAATGATGGAGGGAGGGGAGCTGGGCTGGGCTGGGTCGTTTGGGCTCGGATTGGGTTGGGGGAATGGCCCAGTGGCTGGGACAACGGGGCGATTATTGCCTTCTGCGCGCGTTCCAAGTGTAAAAGAAAATCGTTAAAATTATTCTTTAAAATATTCCAAGCTGAAGCGAAAATACGCAGCTCAGAACCCTCTACCAAAGCCCACCAAATATCCCCCAGTGGGTCCACCTTGAATTGTTGGAATTTGTACACGTGGTCTCAGGAACCTTAATGCATAAAATATGGACATTCTGGGAGTCTGTCAGGGACGCGTCCGGGGTCAAGAGGGCCCGGGGGTAATGCCCGGCACTGAGGCCATCACGGGGTGTGGAGTGGGCGTGCGTACTGGTGGGCCCGATCCGGGACAATGGTCCCTGGCCACTCAGACTGAAGTGGGAACTGTGAGTTGTTATTAAAAGGGGAGGCTATGCTACTTACCTGAAGTGGGAACTGTGAGAAGAAGGTTACTTCTTCGGTTCCCACCCCAGGTACCTTTATGTACATGCGGCTTGGGTCACATGAGGTTTGCCACGTCACCCTGCATACAGCCGCAGTCATCCGGGTGTCCCCGTGGGAGATCCTGAGGGCATGTGCAGCATGCGCACATGCTGGGTTGCACCGTGAGGCCATCTGGGTCGTCCAGGGCTGGGTGTGTCATGTACGCATCGCAGGCGGGTCAATAATACATAGGTATGGGGAAAGGTCGTCCATGTAGATAAAGATAGGAGAAAGAACAAAGGAATAAAAGAACAAAAGGGTAGAAAGAAGAACAGGAGTTGAGGAACTGTGATGAAGGGTGGGGAGTAGAGGTGAGTGGGATACCGGGTCAGGGCAGGTGGAGCCAGGTCAGGTGGGTGTGCCCTGACATCACCCCCTCCTTAAGCCGCTTCGCCTCGAAGCGGCCAGGGGGTTCGTTCTCTCCCTTCCTGGGGCATGGGGGTGTGTTTGGTGGAACTCCTCGATCCGGTCAGGGGCATGGATTAGTTGGTCTCGGGGGAGCCATTCATTCTCTGAGTTCGGCCAACCCGCGAACTTTACTAAATACCAGAGCTTCCGGCATAACCACTTAGAGTCCAGTATTTTCTCCACTTCATATTCCTCCTCTCCATCTACGAGTTCTGGGCCCGGGCGGGGGTCGGGGGGTCGTTCTGCAATCTCATCCGGGCGGTGGGGTCTTACGTTCATCACGGATACGACTGGGTGTATTCCCTTTGCCGTGCGGTGAGCTGGAGCTTGACAGCAGCTGGGGAGACGACCTTGACGACTTTGAAGGGGCCTAGCCACTTATGGTCTAGCTTCTTGGTTGGGTGGTCAGTCGTGTAGTTTTGGGCGCTGAGCCAGACTCGGTCGCCCTCCTGGTACTTGGGGGCTGTCTCTCGACCCCGGTCGTAGTCGCGGGCCATCTCATCCGCTGCATGCTCCAGGGCTGCCTTCACCTCTTCCTGCATCTTCATCATCCTGGATGAGAAGGCGTCGGCGGCTTCTACCTCGGACGTACGTGTGGGCTCCATCCCCATCCTGGGATGCTGCCTGGTGTCAAGCTCAAAGGGGGTTCGATGGGTGGACGAGTGGATGCGGTTGTTGTAGGCAAATTCTGCCAGTGGGAGCCAGTCCACCCAGTCGTCCTGGCGGTGGTTGACAAACACCCGAAGATAGGCTTCGATTTCCTGGTTAACCCACTCTGTCTGTCCGTCAGTCTGGGGGTGATAGGGCATTGAGGGGGTTAGCTTGACCCCCAGGAGATCTGCAAGTTCTTTCGAGAAGCGTGAGATGAAGGCGCTCCCTCTGTCGCTGAGGATCTCTTCCGGGAGCCCGTGGTGCTTCCAGACGTGCTCTAGGAAGAGCCGGGCGATACCAGCTGAGTCCATGGATGTCATGGTGGGGATCGCGTGGATGCGTTTGGACAGACGGTCCACTACAACTAGGATGGCGTTATAACCTTTCGACTCTGGGAGCTCTCCCACCATGTCTACCGAGATTACCTGCCAACGGTGGGTGGGGACTTTATTTGGGGTGAGCTTCCCAACCTTCCGTGCGGGGAAGGATTTGACGTGGTTACAGGTGTCACATCCACGTACGTATCGCCCGACATATTCTGCCATCTGAGGCCACCAGTAGTCGCAGGAGATGAGCTCCAGGGTTTTCCATCGCCCTGGATGTCCCGTTGCCTGTGTGTCGTGGTGTAGCCGTACCAGATCGTGGCGGAGTTGTGGGTCTTTTGGAACGTACACCCTGCCTCAGTAGAGGACCAACTCTCCCTGTCTCTCCCACTTGTCCGACCTTAACGTCCCTTCTCCCAGTTCCCTCATGGCCTTCACCACCTGCTTGTCATGATCCTTCACTCCTTGTACCCTCTCTAGGATATCCGCCTCCTCACCTTCCACTGAGACTGCTTCTGTCGCACGGGCCTCGAACCAGGCCGGTTGGAGGAGGGTCAGCCCCTCATTGTCGTCCCTTCCCTTTGGGTGGTCAGTGCGGCGAGAGAGTGCGTCTGGTTTCCCCATGAGCTTCCCTGGGCGGTGGATGAGGGTGAAATGGAAGTGGGAGAGGAAAAGGGACCATCTGGCCTGACGTTGACTTAACCTCTGGGCCATCCGGAAGTAGCCCAGGTTACGGTGGTCGGTGTAGATCTCGACTTTCTCCTCAGCACCTTCCACAAAGTGTCGCCATTCCTTGAGGGCTCGGACGATTGCAAGCATCTCCTTATCGTACACTTCGTAGTTGCACTCTACGTCCGTGAAACTTTTGGACATGAATGCTACCGGGTGGAACTCTCCATCCGGTTGGAGTTGGGAGAGGACCGTGCCGGTTGCAAAGTTGGATGCATCACACTCGAGCCTGAAGCGGCCGTGGTCAGTAGGGAAAGAGAGGACGGGGGCTGTGGTGACGGCTTCCTTGAGGGTGCGGAAGGCATCGTCTTCATCCGGGCCCCAGTTCCAGGTTTGGGTCTTCCGGGTCAGCCTGTGAAGGGGGCGCACCTTCTCAGAGAAGTCTCTGATGAACCGGTAATAGAAGTTTACGAATCCTAGGAAGGATTGTACCTCTTTCACCTTGGTTGGGGGGGGCCAGTCAAGGACACCCTGGATCTTCACCGGGTCCATCACGACGTTACCCTCCGAGATAACGAGGCCCAGGTAGTCAATCTGGGTTTGCTCAAACTTGCACTTCTCTGGCTTAAGGAAGAGCCTCCTTCTCCTCAGCATCTCTAGGACTTCTCGGACGACCCTTCGATGTTCCTCCAGGGTGGCCATGAAGATCAGGATGTCGTCCATGTAACAGATGACAACCTCCCGGTCGATGAAATCCCTCAGGATGTCATTCATCATGGTCTGGAAGGTTGCCGGGGAGTTACACAGGCCGAAGAACATCACCATGGGCTTGAACAGCCCCTGGTTGGTCGCGAATGCTGCCTTCCACTCGTCTCCGTCCTTGATCCGGACGTTGTTAAACCCCCAGCATAGGTCTAAGGCTGAGAAGTATTTGGCGTTGCAGAGGCGGGCGAGGACGTCCGAGATGAGGGGGAGCGGGTACGAGTTCTTCACTGTGATCTCGTTCAGCTTCCTGTAGTCCTGGACCAGGTGTAGGGACCCATCCTTCTTCTTGACGAAGAAGACTGGTGCTCCCATAGGGGATTTGGACGGCCATATGCGCCCGTTCTGTAGGTTCTCGCGTAGGAACTCGTCCAACTCTTTCTGTTCCGGGCACGAGAGTGGGAAGGTCTTCCCCCTGGGCAGTTTGGCATCCGGTACCAAGTCTATAGCATGGTCCCAGGGCTTCCAGGGGGGCAATTGGTCGAAGGCTTCTTTGGAGAACACGTCCCGGAAGTCCTGGTAGTGCTCTGGTACTAGCGTCTCAAACGATGCGGGCTCAGCCTCCGGGTCGCGGGCCTCCTGGGCCATCTGCTGCGAGGGGGTCGTGGTGGCTCTCAGGTCATGGCCCCAGCTTGGGGGAATGATAGCAGCGTAGATCCCATCCCGGGCTCCAGTACAGGGTCCGGATCATCTCGTATTCGTGGTTGTCTGCAGGAGGATGGGCAGCGGGACATGACGACTTTCTGTCGTACCCAGTCCACTTCTGGTTGTGGTGCAGCAACCACAAGTGTCCTATGATGAGGGACTGTCGCCCGAGATTTGCAACCGCGAAGCGTGCCCGCTCTGTGTGTCGCCCGAAGGTCAAGAGGGCTTCTAGTTCCTCTGTTATAGCTCCATTTTCGTTCGGGGTTCCATCGACATTACGGACGGGAATGGGCTGGGGGGGGGGTTGTCTCTAGGTTGTGCTTCTGGACGAACTCGGGGCTTACGAAGTTCCCGGTGGCTCCTGAGTCCAGGAGGGCTGATACAGATACTGACACGAGGGAGGTTAGGGCGGTCAGTTTCACTGTGAGGTTAAGGGATCTGGGGGACTGCTTGGAAAGGATGTAAATGGCTGGGGGGAGACTGCTACCTCGGGCGTTACTGCCCTTGGGGTCTTCTCATTCTCACGGGTGGAGGATGCGTTTCTCCTCTTTTTCTTCGCGATGACTTGGTGAAACTTTGGCATTGGCGTTGGCTTACGTGCGCTGCAGTATTTACACGAGCTATCTTCTACAGGCGGCTGGGACGCATCCCTTACCGGTCGCCTGCCTGAAAATCCCTCTGAGGTTCTACCTCTGGTTCCCCCTCCACCGTCTCTGTCCCTTTGGTCAACTGTCTCTTCAGCCCTTCCATCAGTGTTCTCAGGTCTTCCGGGTGGAGACGTCGTACTCAGCTGACCCTGGGGTGTGGGCATTCTCGCACGAGATGACCCGGGGTGTTACAATTGTAGCACTGCCTCTGGTCAGTCCTCGACCTGTCGAGATCCATCAGCTGGGGGCCCGTCCCTGGTGTAGGACGGGCTGCTGGAGTGGGGGGCGGAGGTGCGGGAGCAGGTCGTGGGGGGTCTGTGTGGGTCACGCCTGGGATGGGGTCGTGGTCAGTGGAGGTCGAGCTGGTGGAAATGGGGGTCTGGGTGGGGGTGCGCATGGTTGGGTGGCTTGGAAACGTCGCCACTGGTTGTCCAGAAGCGTGGCTTCACACTTCCACTCAGTCCAAGTGGTGGGCATGGGGCGGAGGCGGTATATACGCTCCCTGAGCCGGGAGTTAATCGCTTGCTCGAACCGGTCGACCAGTCCGACATCGCCTAGCCTCGAGGCGGGTCCCAATATCTCGAACTCCTG